GGCACCGGAGCTGCCGGGGCGGCTGAACCAGCTGCGGATGCTCCCCATCTTGCTCAACTCTTGCACTTGCTGCTGGGAGGACCCTGCTCACGGTCCCTTGTGGAGAAAGGCTCGCCCGGGGGTAGGGAGAAAGGCGGGAGCGGGAGGGCAACCAAATGCTCTCCCTTTCTGCCCCGCAGGCGAGCAGACAGTAGAGAGGGCTCGGTGCCAACGTGCCCCGTGGCGGCCTGCAGCCTATTGCTGCCTTCCATCCCCTGCGCCATTCAACGCACGCTCGGCTCCGGTCGGCACCGAAAGCCTTTGAATTTGTGAGTTTTGGCTCGGTGCCTTCTCTCCCTCCAGCTCCTCCGACTCCCACTCGTCTGCCCAAAATCAGGGCTGAGGGGGAGGCTCGGAGGCAGCCGAGAGCTCCCGGTGCCCTGCGCGGGCAGAGCCGGGATTTACAAGCCAGACTCCAATTCTCCAAGGTCCTCCTGGAGATTAAACACCGAGAGCCTCCCCGAATATCTGGCAACGAGAGGAGGAGGAATGCGGTGTCCGTGTGTGGGCTGGCAGGGAACAAAGGCAGCTTTTTACACGCACCCAGCGAAGGTTTCCAGCAGCTGTCGGTCGGCAGGGCCCCGCACCGAGCCGTCCTCCCGACACGCATTTCTATTTTCAGCCAGCAGCTCGGATAAGCCTTTGTTGCTTTCTAAGGCCCCAAAACAGATTAGCAGCAGCCTGGAGCAGCAGGCCTGCGAGACACCGAATGCAAGCCGGGGACTAAAGATGCTTAGCCTTGACGGCGTCCTCCCACCTCTGTGCTGGGAGGGCAGCGCCGTCTCCTCTTCTTAAGGCTGGGGAAACTGAGGCAGGAGACACAAACGTCAGTGATCCTTGGGAAACGGTGCTTGTGAGGACCCTCAGCCTGGGAAGGGTGGGCTCTCCCAAATTCTCACCCTGCCACCAGTTTCATGCACGATCCCAAACTCTGGCCCTTTGTCCCCATCTGCATTAGAAGGGGAAAGGTTCTGACCTTGCCTTGAGTGCAGGGATGGGGACACCAAGCCACCTACAGCTGGGAAAAAGGTGAAGACTTCACAGACCTAAAGCACCTCCCAGCTGGAGATGGGCACGGAGGACCCAAACTGAGCTTGGGTGCAGGGGGAGCACGATTCACTCCCCAGTCTGATCCCTGCCACGAGAAAGACGTCAGCAAAGTCATTTAAGATGTCCTGAACTGATGCATTAACTGGTAAACGCACCCAGTGTGCTACAACAGCCTCTGCAGCAGGACTGCACCGCCACTTTGAAATGTGAAATCCAGGAGGGACAGGGGATGGGGAGCAAACTGGCCCTGGGATCGCTGCACGCTCACAGCTCCACCAGGAACGAAGCAGCAGGGCTGGCTTCACCTCCCCCCCCCCCCCCCAGCTTCCTGGGGAATGACTCACCCCTGAAGGAGGCTCTGCGATGACAAACGGCACCAGAAAGGACAAAAAGAAAGATTAAGAGGCCATCAGATTAAGCAGAGCTCCTGAGCTGCACTAAGTCTGGAACACGACCACAGCCCGTGACGAAAAACCCCCGGAGATAGAGGGGTGCCTGTGTGGGGACAGGTGGGCTCAGGGCTCCCTGGCCCCTTCCCCAGCCTGGCTGCAGCCCCAGCAGCTGCCCAAAACACAGCCAAGGGGATGAACGGACAGAGGGGGCCGAGGGCCACACGGTTGATCAAGGGAGTGGAGCATCTCCCTTCTGAGGAGCGGCTGAGGGAGCTGGGGCTCTTTAGTTTGCAGAAGAGGAGACTGAGGGGAGACCTCATTCATGTTGATAAATATTTAAGGATGAGTGTCACGAGGATGGAGCCAGGCTCTTCTCGGTGACAAACAATGATAGGACAAGGGGTAACGGACACAAACTGGAACACAGGAGGTTCCACTTCAATTGGAGAAGAAACTTCTTCTCAGTGAGGGTGACAGAGCCCTGGCCCAGGCTGCCCAGAGAGGTTGTGGAGTCTCCTTCTCTGCAGACATTCAAAACCCGCCTGGACGCCTTCCTGTGTAACCTCATCTGGTGTTCCTGCTCCGGCAGGGGGATTGGACTGGATGAGCTTTGGAGGTCCCTTCCAATCCCTGACGTTCTGTGTTCTGTGATTCTGTGGTGGCAGCTGTCAGCCGAGGAGGAGCAATGGGGCTTCGAAAACCCGGCGACTCTTCCGCAAGGACACCGGGGCCAGCTCTGCAGGGCAAAGAGACGCAGTATTCATGGCAGAGGGACGCAATATTCGGCAGGAACAAAGCCAGCAAGAAAGCGGGCCCGGTTGGCTGCCGGCGGGGGCACGGGGGTCACTGGAGCACGGTGGGGGAGGCGAAGACTGAGC